TTTTAGGTTAAGCAAAAATTATTTTTTTTTACTAAATTCACTTAAGTGAATTTTTTAACTTAAACTAAAATCACTTTTTGCTAAATTTGTTTAAACTACATTTTGCAGTTCCCTCTAAAATTGCAGAAGATCCAAATCTCATTTTAAATAGCAATATGCTTATTACCATGTTTAACACTTGTTTAAAAAATAAAATTATTGAGCATGATAATTATAAAGAACCAGGTTAAAGCAAAAGTAGTTGGTTAGATATATTAATAAATAGTACATTTTTTGTATACTAAATAAGTATTATTAAATTAAAATAATTTTTAAATAATAAAAATTCATATATAAAAATAAATATCAATATTTTTCTTAACTATTCAATCACACTTGATTGATGCTAAAAATGATTACAACTTAATTGAATAAATATCATTTAATTATTCATCTAGGTGATTAAGTTGAAAATTATTGAATCTAAGTGCTCAAATATTTCTACAAGTTAGAATGATAAAATTCGAGTAGAATATTATTTTAGATAAAATATGCGGAACCTTAATTATTGAAAAAAATTAAAGCAAAAAATTTGAATAAATTTATAATTTATCAATCATATTTATATGATATAAAAAATAATTTATTTCTTTATATTAAAGATTCAACCGAGAAGCATACAAAGATATTTCTTAAATGAACTTTTGTTTTTTATTTAAATAAATATGTATTATGAATTTCCTCAATTCTATTTACTTTAAAGGAATTGCAACGAAAACAAGTATGAAAGCAAAAATACATGATACGATCCATTACATGATATGGCTCATGTAAAATTTAGATTATATGTGATTTTATTTTTTTAAAATAATTAAGTCCTTCAATAATAAAATTAAACAAAATTGGCCTTTTATCAATTTAACACTTTTAAACTGTCAAAAAGTTTGCGGCATTATCAACAACTTGTGGCGGATCATGACTGCCGGTACCATTATGTTCTTCTTCATTGACATCACCCGAAACTTCTTTTACGGGCGTTTAGAACGACCACAATTTCCCTCAACAGTGATGCAAAATAACTTTCATACATTATAGACATATTATTAAATGAAAATCATTTTTAATAAATAAATGAAAGTATAATATGTTATTATCTTAAAATTTTATATATTTAAAAATCAGTAAATATTATAATTAAATTAAATAAAGCTATAATTTTAAAAAATTCAAAATTAAATTAATGTTGAAAATATCAAATATAAAAAATTACGTCGTGTTGCATGATAGTGTTTTTAGTTGAATACTAATTCAAAATTTGAAATTTTCATAATTTTTTAAATTGAAAATGATCTATTTATTTAATATACTACAATATTCACTTGCGAGTGCAGTCTTTATGAAATAGCATTTTTCACGACCATAAACTGCCACAGACGGTTTAACAGAAATACTAAAAATCATATAATTTTAACAATATGCTTCAAAACAACATTATTTTAGTAATTTGTTTTTAATTTTTTTTCTTTACAGTAAGCCCTACTTTAAACACAGTATTAAAAGTATACAATATTATTTCGTTTCATACAACTTGTAAAAAAACTTCTTGATAAAGAGTATTTATCTTAAAATGATGAGGTTTTTTTAAACAAAATTAAAGATGAAAGCATTTTAGTTATTTATTTAATTATTCGAAAAAATGATTTGAAAAGAATCTTATTCTACTTTAAATAGTGTAATGCAAGTAGATATAGAAGGGATGGTGAAGAGAAATAACCATAAGTGGGAGGAGTGGGTAGTGAAATTTCACATGGGAGGAGGATCTATGACAGAAAATTACATAAATACCTCTGAGGCATACGTGATAGAAAATTTCAAGCAAATGCAGGTGAATACAATAACAACCCAAAAGCATACCCGAAAAGGAAAGTGTATCTGTGTATGCAACAAGAGAAGAAGATAATGCACACAGTGTAGTGGGTGTGAGTTAATTGGAATGAGAGAGGGATACAGAAGGGGCAAGGGCGTCCCAGAAAGGGAAACCAAAGGAGTAGTTTGTCTCAGTGAATGATGAAAGCGATCTAACAAATGAGAGCACAATGTGTATGATAGGACCAATGACTCCTCAACCAAGTCCTAGTCTCTGTCGCAGTCACCATCATGTGCTCAGATTTATTATTATTTAGTAGCATCAAACACTCACTTCAACACACACCACTCGTCAATTATTATTATAAATATACACGATAGAGAAAGGACTTTGTTTTTTAAAATTTAAACAAACAAAAATATTTGAAGTAGACCCCAATAATTTTCCAACCGTTCAAGAAATCCCATATTTGGAAACACCCATCTTAAAGGGTTAAAAAGGTGGTCTCAACCCAACCCATTTGCTAGATGACTTTACTCTTTTGGATTTCCAATTTTTTCCACTTTCTGGACCGAGGTTGTCTTACTCTCCGCATAAATGAACCATGATATATGTTTTATTTTCTGTTTCTTCTCTCATCTTTTCTACTTGTTTGCCTTAAACCTTAAACTTGGTATGGTAAAATAAAACTACCAAGAAAAATAAAGAGGGATGGATGCGAGGGAGAAAGAGAGAGAAACTGGGAAAGAGAAATGAGTCTCTCTGGGTGCTGCTGTGTCTCATGGATACGATGCAAAGAAAAAAAATATCTAAGGTGAGGAAAGGCTTTAACCTATACATAGCACTGAATTTCAGAGACTCACTTTGTACTCCAATCTACAATGTTCTAGCTATCTTTGTTCTCTTTTTTTCTTTACGTAGAATCAAGGCCCATGGCATCAAAATCTTTGGACCACCACTTAACCTCTTCTTGTTCACCTATCCTAGCAGGCGCAGCGTGGCTCTCATGATCTGAGCCAACTGTGATTCTTAGCTTACTCTTATGGGGGTTTGTATCGTCCAAAGAAAAATGGGTAACCGGATCTTGGACCACGGTAGTGCTTCATATATGACACCTACATACATTCGAATATATAAACATACGAAAAATTCCTAAGAACTCATGTTTTCAAACAACTTACTTACGATGATATGAATTAAAAGAAAAAAGAAAAAACATTTTATATAAATGTTTGAATTTTGTAAAGAGATATTGATTATTTTCATGAATACACATGACTACGAGTGTATGGTGAATAAAATTCATTAAGAAAAACAAGATTTTCCTTTAATACGAAGGAATGTATAAAATGAATAAGTAAAAATATATTTATTATTGATTTCAAATAAGCTATATTTATAAAATAGTTTAATTTAAATTAAAGGTGGATAAAATTTTAATTTCTCGTTTTACACCTTTTCTCCGACAATAAAAAGATCAATCCAAAAAAAATTGTAAATTAGGAAAAAATTATTTGTATCTCTTCCCTTCCCATGTAAAAATATATTCTCCCTTCTAACATATCCCGATAATTGTACATTTTTTCCTCCCCTATATTAGTCTTGTTGAAGAAAAGAAAATTTGACTCTAACATCAGTCATATCTTAAATATATGTGCATCTATATCCGCTACAGGTAGCACTGTTAACTTTCGGAATATCTAGAATTTATAGTCCTTTATAACGGTTAAATATATTTTAAAATGATTACATCATTATTTTAAAAACTATCGATAGAGGACCATTTTGTGGTCAGATTTATGGTCTATTGTGGACGGTGAGCAGCAACAACAAACGAAGGAGTACCGTTTTTCCTACCCAAATAATGTGGTTAGAAGAGTCATCAAGTTTAACTATTTTTTTCTTTTTCTATTTTTCCATTTCGGTAGCAAAACCCAGTACAACAAACCTATAACTTGGGTCTTATATTAAACTATTGAAGCATACTTTTCTCGAAATATCTAGGATGACGCTGGTGATGATGAAAGCGTGTATGCTTTTATTGATTTTTTAATTATTTACCAAAACCACAACACCCAATAAACAAATGGATGATTATTTTAATGTCATGAGCATTATTTTGCAACCAACGAGATAACAAAGTTTATCATCAAACAGAGTCTGATTCATTAACGAGTCAGAAGCTGCTCCCTCCCAAACTCACAAGCCTAGAATCGTTGAACCAAACCAATCCATTAACCAATGACTCCCCTGCTCCACAAAAGTACATCCTTTATTATATATATGATGAAACAAACACCTGTTTTTGCTTTTAATTAACATTGTTATCATGTACTTACTTTTCTGTTTTGTCGTAAAAGTTAAATCTGACAAGGCGGGTTAAAGTGTTAAACCCCTCAAACCCCCTCACCATTATACCCTTTTGGTCGCTTCCTTTTCTCTCTCTCACTCCATGTATCAGTGTCCTTTTGAAGCTTTAGACGAACAATGATAGGTCCCTCTCATCATAATGGCTTTGTCTGACTGCTTTTGGCCGAGAGAACTGATTCAAAGGACACCGTTGATAGAGACTATTCATCACCATCCGATGATATTTCCAAGACACCAGAAAATAAACCATTTTGTATCTCAGATTCACCCTACTCCTAAGAACATAATATATTATAATATATATATAATTCCCTACTTCGTTACTTTATTTTATTTTATTTTATGCTCATTTAAGCCTTAGCTAGATTTGTCTCAATGTTTTTTGTCAAGCTAAACAACCCCGCATTACCCTTCTAAGGAAGAATAGCTAGCATCTTTCCTTGGCAAAGTTTTCAAGACCAATCCCAAACCAAAAAGAAATAAGGAACAAATTGACAACCATGTGTATGTGATAGCAATACATCCCAAATTAAGAAACGAATAGGTGCTGTCATAAATACCATAACACAGAAAAGCAATAAATCAGAGTTATATAAGATCAGAAAATTTTAGTCAGAGCCCAGAATATCTAGTTAAAGATTTCGTCCGTTTGTTAGTTTGACTGACCCAGACCAAGACCAAGAAGTACCCAATTTGGATTACTTTTTTTCTCTTCTTTTTCATTTTATCTTTTCTTTTCACCTCAATAGTAAAGTATTGGGCTTCCTAAAGGAGGGGGTGCTTGATCATGAACAATAGTCTAACACTGCATCCATTTTTACATGCTAAGAAAAGAAAATAAGGGGAGATATTAGGGAGGGAGCGTATTACGATTATTTTGAATGTAACTGGCGAGGCAGAAAATTTCTATATAGGGTCAAGAGGGTCTCATGAGAGTGTGGAACCCATTTTTCTGCAGCCAACCTTGAGAAGAGGGTCTTATCTGTGGTGGGAATCCTGATGATGCTGCAGCAGTTGCTAAATAATGTGGAGGCCCGGATTGCCACTGTTGTTGATCGGCCATTGATAATGAAAGATCACTTCCAATACGGCCTCCAATGCTGCTGCTGGGAAACTACATTTGGAAAATAAATAAATATCAACATCATTAAAAAAAATTAAAATCAAACTTAAAATAGTATGTGAATGTTTGAAAATATTTAAATTTAAAATTTATTAAAAATAAGTAATTATGTCTTTCAAAATAAACTAAATTAAACATGTACTAATATATATATGAATAGCGTTAATATATTTTAATTATAATAATAATAATCATAATGGTGCTCGTGCTTCTTTAATGTCTGATCTCTATGTATTTAATGCATGAGCTAAAATAAATTAATTGAAGAGGTACCCACATGAAAATTTGGTGGGTGAATGAGTGCAAAATTTTGAAGCATTTGAGACTCTCCTCCAGGAGACCTGTAGGGACCATATCTTTGCATTTCATTAGAGGCTGGAGAATGAAGGTGGGTTTGACTTAACATCCGCAATGCTTCACTCTCCCCGTGCACATCCCTTCCATGTGCGTCCTTGTTGCTTCTATTGCATGGTTTTGGTAGTATATTCACCAGCTGAATGAAGCAGGAAAAGAAAAGTATAATATTAGGAAATTAAACACGAATGAACAAAACAAGTAAATAATAAAATTTAATATATATAATCTGAACTAGGAATTAATAAAAATTTAATATAATATGAAGTATATGAACCTTAGGCTTGCTTCCCCCATTCCGCCAGTTAGACTCAGATTGCAGGTGTTGATCATGAGTTGCAGCATTTGTGGTGTGATTCCCCGACGCTTGATTATTGCAAGTCTTTGAACTCGAATTGCCCAAACTTAAATCCAGATTGTGATCTGCAGTAGTACCTGTGGATTCTGTAGCCCAATAATGCATATATTTAATTTATGAATGTGAATAACAAAATCCAAACACTAGTGTTAGAACAATTTATATTATTCTCATAGTCCATTGTTTACCGGAATTAAGCTCATTATCATAGATGCTGGGATCAAAATTGGTGACGGCCTCTTTGCCATTGCATTTTATTGCTGCTTTGTCATAAGCTCTACAGTAAAAAAAAAAATGTGCAATAAAATTAAAAGTAAAACCCTAAAGATAAATCATTTACATTCTAGGCTAAGTTTTGGAAGATGGGCAATCTAGTAATTCGAAGGTGAAAAAGAAATAATTGACAACGTAAGCAAAGGAACGTACCTGGCAGCTTCAATCTCGGTGTCAAACAGACCCAGATAAACGTACCTAGCGAAGCATATGATTTAATCTTAGTTTGTTATTATGACAAACATAAGAATCTTAGTATGGCATGAACAAAACATAAACGAGATAAAAGTATAAAAATAAAAGAGAAAAGAAATAAAAAAATAAGGACTACTTTTTTCCTAAAAATTGGCCCATCCGAGCCTCCCATCTTCCACACTTGTGCAAAGTTACACCTCTATATTTAGAGCTTCCTCTCGGAAATCCAGTGCTTTGTCGGCGAAGGACGTGCACAAACTCCTCCTTTGTCAGATTGCTCATCTATTAACATCCATTCAACCAAATCACGGAAACAATTCAAGATAAAGAGAGAGAGAGAGAGAGAGAGAGAGAGTAATAATAATAACAGTACGAGAGATGATAAAATAAATGATTTTTCTATAGAATTAAAAATAAAATATCCACAAACATATCACCTGCTTCAAGTCGTCTTCATAATCTTCTATGCTGAAGTTTATGTCGGCCTCTACTCCTCGGAACTTAATGGCCGCTCTATCATATGCACTGCGAAGAGAAACGAACACATGTTTTCCTTTTGAGCCTCACATTTCCCAGAACGAAATTTAGTATTTGATTCGGTTCAAGATATAGAAAAAGTTATATTACAAGCTTGGTAAACTATAGGAGGGGGCAAGTGCTCACCGAGCAGCTGCATGTGCTGTGTCAAATCCACCTAGACAAATTTACCCAGACAAAGCCATCTAGTCAGTCACTACAAAAAAATTTCCCCACCCACACACACACACACTCTTTGTCTCTACCAAATCATACCCAAGACAAAAACACAAAAGAAGAAAAAAAATAATAATAAAAACGTTTTGGCCGCTTAAAACAAGATGTAGGGAAAATAACTGCCACAGGCACACACACAATCATTCTCATCGTTATACTTACCCAGATACACTTGTTTTCCACAATCCCTGCAATAACAAGGACACAAACACAACCCAAAAGGATCAAATCTTGATTGCAGGAAAATTCCAATTTTTTTAAAAGGGTTCACATTTTTATGAATGAAAAGCACTAACCATATATGAGACTCCCATCGACCTGTTCTTCTGTAAAAGGTGACTCCCCTATACTGAGAACTCCTTGACCTTGGTCCTCTTCTACTCTTCTTCATAGGCTGCGAAACTTCCACTGATTTTCCAGCACCGAGTGTTTCTGATTGACAAAATTTCACACCAACCCAGTGAGCACGAGGGAAGGTAGAGCTTCCTCCACCCGATGCAACGGCCACATCAGGTTCTTCCACTGGAAAAAACTGTCTAGTAACAGGTGGGTGCTCACTGTCCATGTACTCTTCTTCATCTTGGGTCACAGAGAACCCAAATATCTTGCTGCTTCTTTTCTTCATGCTTCGTCTGGTACCTTCTTCTTCTTCATCATCATCTTCTTCTGATCCATCCTCGATGACCACCGCGGAAGAGCTAGAATTGGAAACAGATCCAACCCTTTTACCTTTGTTATTATCATCATCCCCATCAATGGAAGTTTTGAGGGAAGAACACCCTTCGGATTCTTCATCCTTCCTCTGATCGGGTGAGTCATTGAGATCCCACATTCTAGCATTAACCAAGAGTAGCAACCCAGATTTCCGATTCCCACTCTCACATCAAAAGACCAAAACTTTCTCTCTTTCTCCCAGTTTTGCTTTGCCTTTTTTTTTTTTTTTTTAAATTTAACTTGGGTTGGGTTACGGATTTGCAGAAGAAATAGAAACAGCGTCTGTGTGTTGTCGTGGTTTGATAATAAAATAATGGAGATGCGAAAAAGGAGTAGTCGTGGAGGTAGGGAATTCAGAGAAGAAAATCAAACCTAGGACGAGTGAAGAGAGAGAGAGAAAGAGGTAGGTGTAGCAAAAATGTAGTAAAGGAGATGTTCAAAGATCTTTGTATTCCCCAACTGCCCAATACAGCATAGACGAGGCCAGTTTCAGCAAGCTTAGCCGAAAGCATCTCCCCCTCTCCTTAACACCCTTCTCTCTCTCTCTCTCTCTCTAACCACTTGCTTCTCTCTTTTCTTTTCAATGACTCATAATTTCTTTCTCTCTCCATCACTAAACTGTCCTTTTTTATTTCATTCGTTCGCTCAAAAATACAAATATTTCTATTTCTGTTTCTTTTCTCTTTTTATTTTTTACTGTTTTGCTGTATTTATTAGAGAGAGGGAGGGGGTCAGAGAGATAAATAGGAGTTGGGAAAATTGGGAAAGAAAGAACCATCTCTTTCTTAAACAACTTTCCCACGTTAACCAAATCGAAAAGCATCCGGGGGTGTCTTTCTCCCTCGTCTTTCTGGCTCTTAATTACCCAGTAATGGAAATAGACAGCGCAAGGAGTCCTAAAGAAAGATAATTACTCAAAATTAGCTTTTGTTAGCTTGTAATCGTTAATCATTTCACAAGTTGCAAATCCACCACTCCTTGAAGCCACGCCTCCAAGCATTTTTATCTTTTTAGGATTATGACTACGTTTTACCATGTGAGAGGACAAAAAAGGAAAGTAAATAGGGGTGGGGGGAGGGTATTTTGGGAAAAGAGATGGAACATTAAATAATAATTGTATTTGTGAGTGTGTGAGAAAGAGAGGGTTTGAGTTTGGGATAGGTTTTGGCATCAGAAAAGGAAATGAGAATAATAGTAGTAAAAGGAAACTCTTTCCAGAAAAGTCCAATCCAAGAGTACGGGAAGAGGGCCACCTTTGCCTCTTTCGTTCTCCAAGCGACCAATGCCCTTCTTGCGCTGTACCTCGTATTTATGACCCTTTCTTACACTTCTTCACTCTCCTCAACCTGCGCGTGTTACTCCACTGTAATCTTTCTTTTTAACTTATCATTTCAATCAAATACATTAAACATCATACAATTCATTCCTTCCTATTATGATTAATTTAGATTCTATCTCAAAAAATAATTAATTTAGCTTGAATAAATTTAAATTTGTTAAATATAATTAAAATGTATATTTTCCTACAAATTTTACATTAGACATGTGTCATAAAAAGAAAAATTACCTCTGCATATTTCTCAAAGAGGCATTTTAATGCATGATTAAAAATTTAATATAATAAGTATTTTTTATTATCATTTTATACATTTTTTATATTTTAATAAGAAATTTTTTTATCTCTTTTACTTATGTACTTGGTGTATAATGTAAAAAATTGTTTCATTTTCTCTCGTAAAAATTAACCTAAAATGTGTAGTTATATATTTTTACAGTTATTATACAACTTTGGTGTCTTAAGAATTTTATAGTCAAGTTCAACACTTTTAACTGTTTATTTTTAAAAAACTTACACAATTAAGTCCTTTTCTCATTCTAAATTTACTCAAATTATTGAGGATTTAAATTGTAATCAAAATAAAAAATGAACAATTTAGGAAATAAAATTTTGGCAAAATTTCGATTAAATTTAAAATTTTGTGAGAAGAGAGATTAACAGTTCAACGAGAGAGAAATATTTTGATTTCGAGTGAAATTTACTTTTTTTTATTAGTAGAATGAAAATTGAAGAGGCTTTAAAATTTTTAAATCAACGCAATTTGTGGAAACTTTTGAGTAAAAATGAAAGCATGAAGAGAAATTAATGATATGATCTGTATATAATATTATATTTAAACAAAAAAATTATTAAAAGATTGAAATTACATATTAATCGTGATGAATAAACTAGAATTACAATTAACTTACCTTTTTTCATGAGATAGGTCTGATTTTCCTATTAGCATATAGAAAAGATAGTATAATTCAAACGTTTCTTGGTAATTTTCTTCGTTTACCCTAGTCTATACCCCCACTAGTCTTCCATCCCAGTTATGGTACATATCAATTTCACGCCAGTGAGCACGTACGTGCATTTGTCTTTTATTCGTGAAATATAATATGCTGCTATTTTTTACGTTGATGATATTTGCTGTTCTGCAAAAGAACTTTTACATTAATACCTGAAATCAGTGTTCTTGATTCGATTGAGGTATTAGGTCACTCGTTTAATCAGACACTGGTCAACTGGGGTTTGCGTCTCTCTACATGTGTGTGTAGAACACGCGCAGTGGTTTCTTAATTGATCTAGTGGATAACCCAGATCAATAACCATGATACCAAGTACTAATACAGATCAATTTTTCAAAGGAAAACACATTCATCAATTGAAAAAGCAAATGCACGTTATATTCCATGAACAAGAGAAGAAAAAAACACGTACAATCTTGCTGGCGTGAAATTGATATATATCATAATTGGGGGTGGTGGATTATACGGGGTGAAAGAAAATGTGAGCCAATACCGGATTGCATACTTAGTTTGATAAGTTATTCAAATAATTTACTAGTCGAATTGACTAATCTTATACGATTCTTATAATATTTACTAACATGTAATTCTTTTGATTAAATTCTTGGTAGATGTATTTAACATAAAAACGTTCATATTGTTCTGAAAATTTATTTATTAAACCTTGTATAACACAAATTTATACGTAGTTTTTTCTTATTTTTAGGATAGTTTTTTGGTTTATATTATATAATTTACAAATAAATTTTATTAAAAGATTTTGTTTGAAAAAAGTTCAAATTTAATTAAAATCAAACACAATCTATGTTAAAGATAGTATTCTATTTTTTTCCCTGGAGATGGTTCATATATATATTCATTAAGTTTAGCAATTTGGTGGGCACATATTAAGTGATCTGAAAGTAAGATCAGATTTTGAATTTATGAAAAAAAAGAAGTAGGCGATTAAAAAGTTTCATCTCAAGTACCTAACTAGGATTGAGTTTGAGTGGATTTGTTTATGTTAGGAGTTCATTTACAATAAATTTGTGTATTCTTGAGGGTATGCTTTAGTTGTTTAATTGGTATGTGAAAATCTGTGATAAGGTATGGTAATTTCATGCCTAACTAGATAACCCAAAGTAAAATCTCCTACTTAACTCTGTTAGAACTAAACACATCTCATGGATTTAAAACCTAACATTATAAGCCAATTCGTGAAAAATTATTATTCACCCAAGGCAGGACGTGAAAAAAAAAAAAAAAACACACACACACAGGATATGGATTAAAAACATTTTTGGGGGAAAAGAATCAAGCGATCTTTGCTTAAAATGTAGCCAATGGAACAAAAATAAATAAATAAATATTTAAAAAGAAAGGCAAAAAATAGAAAATCAAATTTTAAAAAAATACAAAGCGAAGAAAATGAAAGAGACAAAAAAAAAAAAAAAACAAAATGAAATAAGAAAAAAGATGACTCTATTGAATAGTTGTGATTTGATTCATTATTTTTTTTTTACACGAGATTGCTTGCAATTGTGATAAAAATTAGTTCATGAATTTATTCTCTATTTAACATAATTACTACTATAGAAATCATTTATTATATTAGTTAAAATTAAAATTTTACATCAGTTGATAAAAAATTATTTTACGTCAATTAAGGATAACTAATTTAAAAAATTGCAATTTCTATGTATCTAAACTAAAATGAGATTAGTGTTTATTGTACCCAAAATTACGAACAGAAGTATGAAAAGGTAAAAAAATTCAGGTTATTTGTTAAATTTATAAATGAAGAGTACACAATGTTCATTAATGTTATACCAAAATAAATAAATTAAAAAAATAAAAATAAAATGAAGCTTGAGATGTTCATTAATGACATATCAAAATGAGAACGTAATTAATGTTTGATGTACTAAAAAAATATAAACAAAAGTTTAAGAATATAAGGAGATTGCAAGCAGATTTGTACATTTTTTTTTAAATCAGCAAATGAAAAATACACAATGTTCATTAATATTATACTAAAACAAATGAATTAATGAAAATGAAAACACAAAACAAAATTTGAGATATTCATCAATATACTTGAACTAGAACGAAATTAGTATTTATAAATAATGAACCAAAAATATACATACTTGAGCTGAAAAATGCAAGTAACAAGTTATTTTCAACCTTTGGTTAGAGAATTTTTTTATATTGTTTCATTGTCGTATTTGAAATTTTACTTTCTAAATTATGTTTTACATTAATTATGAAAGAAATTATTTAAAATTTTTTTTACATTGGTTTAAAAATTAACCAATTCAAAAAGTATTTTCTACATTATTTAAATTTGAATTGATTTAAAAAAACATTTTTTATCGATTATTTATCAATTGATCTTAAAAAAATTTCATTATTTTCAAACATGTTATGCATTTTTATTAGATTAATTAGTCATTAATTAACGTAGAAAATTTTCATAGAATAACTTTTATGCACAAGTGAATATTAACTCTTACTATTTCATGTTTACTTTACTTCATTAAAAGAACTCTACTATATACTATTTTATTTTGAGTTAGTAGATAGCTTGACTCTCATTGATTTGATGTGTCTTTTGTAGTTATTCATGTGATGTTTGTTGTGAATATTTGTAATTATTATCTAATTTTGAAGTTAATTTTTGCTTCACAGCAAGTAAAGACATAAGTATGAAGGTGTCATAAGTTTTATATTATTCTATAATTATGGAAGATTAAAAAAGACTTTGTGTGAAGTTATTACATGCAGAATTTATTTTATAGCAATTTTGTATTGATTTTACGGTTGTGGTTTTGCTTTAACATTTTTAGTATATGAAATATTTTTATAATGTAATGTACTACTGTAACAGTTTATTGGTTTAAATTTTATACTAGTATAGTTTATTTTGATGATACAATTTCAATTATATAGTTTTGTTATATCTATAATTATATCTCTTTTCATTATTGTTATATTATACATTTATATAATCCTTCGTATTTATTTTTTCTTTTCTTCTTAGATTATTATTATTATTATTATTATTATTATTATAATATAATGAGACCAAAAATATTTAAATTACAATATTCTTGAACTATAAAAAAAAATTAGATGAACCATGGTATAATATAATATAATATGAGCAAAATAGTATATAGTTTTAACATATACTATTATTATATTTTTTTTATTGTTTTATTATACATTTATATAATCCTTCGTATTCTTTTTTTTAATATATATAT